TTTTATGCGCTAGTAACTGGATGAGAGCTGGTCTTGTTGACTACGCTAGAGTATCTAGACCACTTCAAGAGCGTCTTGACGAGACATTATCAGGGACTAAGAAAACAAATCAACTAGCAGCTGGAGTGCAGATTGACCTGAATCCAGACGAACAAGCAGCGTTTGAAGCTGTCAAAGATTTGCTTGGTAATTCCGCAATGCTCATGTACCCGGATCCACCCAAACAGCTCGTCCTGCTCTCCGACCGAGGCTGGGGTCTGGTAGTCTCGCAAGTGACCGACTGGAGGCCCGATGTACCTATGCACGAACAAAAGCACGAGTTCTTGGTGTGTATGGGTGGAAGATTCACGGTGTAACGGGGTTACACGCAAGTAGCTACATGTGGCCACTTGGGTACGACAATGGGTTTCCCGTTGGTGTAAGATACACCAATGGTTACATTTGACAGACGACTGGTCTGTGTGCATTTAGACTTCCAATCGGTTGAAAGGCGATCGCTTTCAAACAATTAGCTCAGCAGAATTCTGCCAACCACTCGCTGGTAAATACCTTTCATTTAGAATATCACTTGAGGAGGAAACCCAAACCCAAAACATAAAACTTAAATAACAGTTCTTATTTTTACGCGGTAAAATTGGCTTTGCTTTCTTAATAAAGTAAATCTATACTTACGAGACGTAAGTATAGTAAATCTAAGTTTAAGCAAACTACGCTTCCTCGTACACTTGCGCTAACGTGTAAGCCGAAGTAGTGGGCACACGGCGGGCCCATTACACACAGGATCAGCGCTCAACTGGTCTGTTATCGAGATATAGTCCTATTCTATTGTACACGCTTGTGAGAAACTGGAGTATCTGCTATTGCGACGACAGGGATTAGGCTCTACTGCGACCACCGCAATATCATCTACCTATTCTGCCCGAATAAAGAGTTATAGCGACACGTACGCGGTAAATTGCTACGTTGGTGGATGAAACTCCTGGAGTATAGGTACTCGATTGAGCAGATCGAAGGTGTCCACAACGTGTGGGCGGACATAATTTCACGGTGGGGTGGCAAGCCACTGTCTGCAGCACGGTTTCACTCTATCAAACATGTCGCGCGTTCAAACCGCCGCTGCGAGCGACAGCAACGCACTGTACAGTCGTCACGGCCACTCGATCCAGATGGCTTCGTTTGGCCCACGATATACGAAATTGGCAGCGTGCAAGTTCTGCACGAAATACCACAAGGTGCAAAGCTTGATGACAACGACCTTTGGCGACTACAAGATAAGATTTGGATTCCTTGCGAAGCCAGCGATCTGACTCAACGGCTATTGGCTATTGCTCATTGTGGACGGAATGGACATCGTGGAGTACATGTGATGGAGCATCATGTCGGCCGTTTGTTCAAGATTGCTGGTCTCAATGAAATGGTGAGGGATTTCTGCGCGAACTGCCTTCTTTGCTTGCACGTGAAATGAGGTACAGTCGTTTTGGTGCACCTGAGCTCTGGGTGAGCGACTCGAGATCACATTTTAAGACAAACGTGATCACTGAACTCAGCAGGCGACTGAAAGGACGTCAAGAGTTTATTTTGGCATACTCTCCGTGGAAAAATGGATCAGTTGGACGTGTAAATCGGGATATTTTGCAAATTTTGAAAGCTTTGGCATTAGCATTTCGCGTGAGCCTACACGACTGGCCGTACCTGTTGCCGCTGGTGATGTCCCGTATCCACCACTCGTCAGT